ACTCTAAGAGTTTTGAGGTGGGGAGTCTCTGGGTGAGTGCAGGCTGGTACCCTGACCGCAGCTATCCTGGTCAAGGTGGTGTCCACAGCAAGATATCGGTCAGGCACTGGAGAAGCGGGAGATGGTTGGAAACACTCAGAATCACGGAATGTTTCAGGCTGGAAGGGACCACAGTGGGTTCATCTGGTCCAACTTCCCTGCTCAATCGAGGTCATCCCAGAGCACACGGCACAGGATTGTGTTCAGAGGGTTTTGGAATATCTACAGTGAGGGAGACTCCACACCCCCTCCGGGCAATCCCAGCGCTCCGTCACCGCACAGGAAAGAAGTTCTTCCTCATGTTCAGGTGGAACTTCCTGTGCATCAGTTTCAGCCCGTTGCCTCTTATCCTATTGCTGGGCATCCCCGAGCAGAGAGATCCATCCTCTTGGCAGGTTGGAATATTTATTACAGATAAATGTCGATATTTTTAACCCCATTTAGATACTTATAAACATAATTTCACCCGAGGATCTACACCACCGTGTCCGAAGGGGAATTAAGCCCTCTAACAGAGCCTACTCTACGTGCCCCCTCCCATCCATCCCACCCGCGGGCTCCCGCGGTACCTGGGCGGGAGGCGGCGCGCGCTGGCCGGGAGCGCGCGAGATGCCGGGATGGCCGGGAGCGACGGGATGCCGGGAGCGGCGGATGGCCGCCGGCGCTCACCTGGGCGGAAGCGGGAAGCGAGGGGCGATCCCGCCTCACCTGCGGCGCAGGAAGCCGGGCGGCGCGGCGGGAGAGCCGCCTCCCGAGGGACGGGCCGGGATCGGCCCCTCCCGCCCCGGCGGGTCCGCGGGCGGTGCGGGGACAGCGCACGGGGAGGGGACGGGGCTGAGCCCACCAGCGAGACACGGGGTCTGGCCGCTGTGGGAAGTGCAGAGCTTAAACTTCGGAGCAGAAATTAACTTTTTAATCAGTTTTCAGGTGATCCTGACCTCCCAGTATGTTTATAAGTCGTGGTTCTGTCACATAGTCCTTGCCTGTCACATGGCCACCGACCTCCCCAGCGAAGGCAAAACAAGTATAAATATTGTAGAAAAGCTTGGTTTTCACTCTTTTGCAGTAAATCGGTGTCCAAACTTGATTCAGGAGCTGTTTCACGCTCCCACAGAGGTGAGGTGAGCTGTGCTCAGTCTCAGCAGTCCAGCCCGTCACCACTTCACACAAGGGAACGTCAAAAAACGTAGAAAAACTACTTGGATGGAGTTAAGGGATTGAAAGACTTCCCACACAGAGCACCGAGCCAGCGCTGCTCCCAACAGCACCCCAAAACATACCACGTCACTGCAGCTTCCAAAGAAACACAGTGCAATGCCCGGGATGGCAATAAAAGCAAAGTTTTCCTCCCACTAGTCACAAAATACTGAACAGGCACCATTTTAGTTAATTGCGGGAAATGCAGGTGCTTTCTGTCCCTGAAACCTGTATGTTAGCCTGCTTTCTGATTTTTAAAGAATTAGATATGTACGCACATGTACTCAAAATCTCCAAATTATAATTTTTATTCTGCTACACAGTTTCATGAGCTCATTTGCTGATCTCACACAGCCCTGCTCATTGCACACAGTAAGGGCTACAGGAGATTTGGAAAATAATTTCTCATAGATTTCCCCTCACTCTAGTGCCTGTTTTTACTATGCAGCAGCAGTTGCACTAGAGCACGCAACATGTTAAGAACACACCATCTCATCCCCCTTTTTAAAAAATTCCAGCTCCAAACGCCCAACTTCCCAGTCATGACTCTCAGTTTTAATTAATGTGGCGCTCGTGAGAAGTGACAATTTTCTTGACAGTGATGAACAGCGAGTGGTGTATTTATCCATCCGAGAGACGCGCTGCAGACAGAAGAGCCGAGCACTTTCCCATCAGTGCACCTCTGTCTCCATCTCCGAGGGCTGAGTTCATCTCGGAGCGTGCTCTGGCCCTGGCCTTTCGCTTCCAGTTGCTGAAAGGAGTATCAATTTTCATTTGCATACTTTGCCTGCTGAACTCCAGGCTGCCAATTCAGTTTACACAAATCTCCCAAAAAGCTGTTAGATGGCAATATTTCACATCGCTGGCTGGGCTCTTTGTCAGCCATCCACACGTTTTAAATCTACACTTTTACAGATTCTGAGTATCTGGGACCACGACAAACCTTTCATTGGTATTGACACTCTAGGCAAGTAACCAAAGTAACACCCATTAAACCCAAAAGACTTCCAGGAAGTCTGGGTAACGATGATGTTCTAATCAGTACTGTCTCAGTGTTGCTTTTCCAGCTTATTAGGTCCGATTTTCAGGAAATGCTTCTTGAGCTGATGTAAACTTAGGACAGTGGTGCTGCCTTTCCTGGGTGTGTTTACCCCAAATGATTTCTCCATCTCCTATAAACAGCCTGGCATCCCCAGTAGTTCATAAGTGAAAACTGACTCCTTCCAACCTAGCAAAATCTGAAACAGCCACGCTAGAAAAGCATTAAATAACTGTTAAGGAAGCGAGAAAAGGAAAAGGTTTGTAATCACCACCAAATACCTTACAAAGAGCACATGCTGATGAAGATAAAAGCTTGCCTGCTCCAGGCATTAATAATTCATTTGAAAAAATTGAAATAAAAAGCGTTTTTAACAATGCACAACTTCATGCAAAAATAGAGTAACAATTTCAAAGTATTTCCTTAATCGGAGTGCTGTGGGTGTGGTGGACACAGTGCCAGCACATCAGGCCCACCTGGCTGCCAGGGAATGTCCCAGTCCAGGTTAACCTGGTTTGGTAGGTGTTGACAGGTCACACCTTTAACTTCTCCTGGGGTTTT